AACGCAGTAACGCAGCGTTCCTACGGGAAAGTAACGGTAATCTAATTACTGTTTTTGCAATAGTAATCCCTTACTTTACTCGTTACCTGGAAAAAAGTAATCAGGTTACGCGTTACTGTAATCTGATTACTTTTTTCAAGTAACGAGTAAAGTAAGTACAAGTACTTTTACAAGTAACGCGTTGAACTGGCAGGTGGGGAGTTCCTGTGCAGGGTACTGTGGGCTCCCACTGTGGGTTCAGGATTACACTGAAAACCTTCATGTGTAGCCTAAAAGTAACACTTTTACATCATATCGAGCCCACATCATCCAACCACAGCGTCATCCACCGTGCAGGTGGACTTTGGAGGACTGCACAGGAGCATGTGCTGTGAATTAGCTGCATAAAGTTAAACTGAACTGGCTCAGTTTTGTATGAGTGATGAGGTGCTGACAGTGTTTGAAGTCCACAGTTTTGATGATGGGAGTTGAAGGTTTTACAAACATCACATTTCTGAGCACCCAAATGTATCAGCAGTGTGCTGCGTTACCTCATGAGCTGAATATTAATCATAATAATGCAGCTTAAGCTTCGATCTTATGCATTTCTCTAAATTCAGAGCGAGGAGGCACTGCTGAGAGACTCAGTGTGGTTTAATTGGACGCTCTGTCCCGTCGTGCTTTATTATCAGTTAGAAAGAAAGAGTCAGTCAGAGCTTTGACGCTGAGCTCAGAGGTCGGACGATCCACCTTTACTCCGTCTGGGCACATCTCCCTCAGACCGTCCAGCTAGTGCTTCATTTAGCATGTGCTACAAAGCTGTAAACCCCATTTATTTAAATGTTCCAGTAAAGTTTGTGCTTGAGAAGTTCCCAAAAAACGCCTGGGCCGGCCTTTGACACGCCAGCTAGTCTCTGTAGAAAGTCCCGAGGACAGATATTAAAGTGTTAAATGGAAAAGCGGGCAGTGTGTCGGTGCTGCTGCATCCATACAGCGAGGGTTTGCTCGCCCAGATAAACGTGTCAGCCATGTTTCTTATCCCGCGTAACCTTTCAACCTGTTCAACAGGTCCTTCTGG